GCAAACGAAAACTTGAAAACCTTAATATTGATGACATTGCTAAAAATGTGAATAAAAAAATAAAAAAAAATAAAGTCATAAACAATCGCATATTTTCTGAACTTTCAGAGAATGAAAAAAAAATGCTAAAAGATAGTTGGATAACCGAAATCGTAAAATTGATTAATGAATCATGTTCAGATATCGAATATCTTGTTATCGACTTCAAGATAGTTGAAAAAGCTTTAAATGAATTAGAAAAAATGTCATTTCTACAGATTTGGGCAATCTATGTTGCCTTGGTACTTAAGAAAAATCTCTTTATCACTGGCGATGCTGGTACTGGAAAAACACGTGTTCTCAAGTTCATCATGGCACATTATTACCTTATTCACAAGGTCAAGATCGAAGTTACTGCATCTACTGGTAAAGCTGCACTCGAATTGAAATCAACTGGTAAATCTGGTAGAACTATCCACTCCACGTTCAAACTTGGCAAAAGAGTGACAGGGAAAACCCTAATATGGAAAGTCAGAAATAAGATGTATCGTGATTGGCTTGAAAATGTCAGAGCCTTAATCATTGATGAGTGTTCGATGGTTAATGATACACTTCTTGATTCTATCGTATTCTTATTCAAATCCATTAGAAAGAATGTATCAAAAGATATCCATTTTATAGTCACAGGCGATTTTTTCCAACTTCCTCCTGTTGAAAATGAATTTTGTTTCTTGAACAAAGACTGGTATTCAGACAAAACTGAACCGTTACTTGGTGAATCATGGAGTTCATTCGATTTCATCTATGTTGGTTTGACTGAGATATTCAGACAGGATGATCCAGAATTCAAACACCATTGTACCAATCTACGATACGGGTTCTTCAACAATGAAACGTATGATTACTTCAAAACATGTGATTACTTTAAAGAAGATGCAGTTCGCTTGTTTTCCCAAAAACGGTATCGTGATCAATATAACAACCACTGTCTTAGTCAACTACCTGGAAAAGACATACTCATCTATGGACAAGATACTTCCGATTACATCAAAGAAATTCGTAAGATCGATCCATTGTTATGTTCGATCAAGGAGATGAAAACAAGTAAAAACTACAAGATCCTTGATCTTACCAAAAAACATGAAATTCTAGAAACAGTATTTCATAATCACACACAATCAGAATATGAATTGAGACTTCGTCTGAATTGCAGAATCATGGTAATACAAAATTACACAGAAGGTGTGGTCAATGGAACAACAGGAACATTCATTGGTTGGGTTAAAAACAAAAAAGGCAAAGAACATAAATCAGTAACCCAAATAGGTTTTGATAGAGAATGTAAATATCGTGATCTTGATTTGGAAAAAGGTGAAAAATATTTTGACCATGATATGATAATTCGTCTTGATGATACAGGTGAAGAGGTATATGTTGGTGTGTGTGAGATGACAGAAGAAGATGAAAATGAAAAGAAATACATTCGCAGGCAGTTTCCAGTCATCCTGTTCTATGCAATGACAGTTCATAAATCACAGGGTGTTACTTTAAAAAATGCAGTCATTGATCTACGTAATTGTACCCAGAAATTAACATACACAGCAATAACACGTGTCAGTTCACAGGACACACTTGGTATCATGAATCTAACAAAAGATAGTATTAAGAGATTAACAGAAACAACCAAAGAAGATAGTGCAGTTAAAGAATTTTATAATCGCTATGTTGGTATCGATATACCTAAAGCATCACTCGCTTTTAAAAAAGATTAGATTTTCTTTGTATCATAAAAATATCATAATAAAAATATATTTAGTAATCAGTGTAAAGTCTTTGTTATGTTAATTTTATTGGTTTAAAATAATCCTGAATAAATTCATGTACTACAATGTTTTATTTATATTAGACCAGATTGTTCGAACAAGTTTGTTAAGTTAATTGTATCAAATCATGTCTGAAAAAGAATTTGTACAAGATATTGTAACTCCATTACTAGAAGGTTTAAGAATCAGTGATGATTCTATTTATGAATTTATTGAAGATGTTACTAAAGGTCTTGTTGACTTTTCAAACAAGAACAAAGTAATCGAATACATTGCCAGAGAGGCACAATATCGTATAGATGCCCATTACGATTTTTATATTCTTGCAGGAAAGATCCTTGCAAATTTTCAACTCGAACAAATCCCTGGCAAATTCTCTGAACATGTGAAATTGCTTTACAATAATTATCGTAAAGTGTCAGATACTGTAAAAGAACATATCCCATTGATAAAAAAAGAGTATCATTATATTGTGATCGATAATGCAGAATTTTTTGATTCACTTATTGATTTTAGTAAAGAATATGAACATGGTTACATGGAATACACTCGCAATAAAGAAAAGTTCTTTCTAAAGATAGAAGATAAAGAAATTGATTGTGTACAGTATGTGCATATGAGATGTGCATTACAGTTCTACTCAGATGATTTTGTTCTACTTGAAGAATTTTACAAGAAGATGTCTACGAACAGAATAAGCATGCCAACTCCTACTCGCACAAGTTCATGCATGATAAAGAACCAACTCTCCAGCTGCTTTTTAGGCCAGATAAAAGATGATTCTATTGAAGGAATTTATGAAACCTTAAAAGATGTTGCCATGATATCCAAGAATGGTGGTGGAATCGGTCTTGATATAACAGATATTCGCCCAAAATATGATTATATCAGAGGAACCAATGGACACTCGACAGGATTGAACAAGATGCTTTGTGTTTATAATGCTACCATGAACTATGTCGACCAAGGTGGTAATAAACGTAAAGGAGCATTGATGGTAACACTCACGATCTGGCATCGAGATATAATGGACTTTTTGTATATCCGTGATGAATCTATCGTATCTGAATTACGTTCAGCAGATCTTCACCATTGTATTTCAATCCCAGACCTATTCATGAGACGTGTACTAGAGAATGGTGATTGGACCACATTCTCACCTAAAGATGCAAAAGTCTTCCTAGGTAAAAAATTGAGTGAAATGTATGGCAAAGATTTTGAGAATGCGTACATTTTATGTGAATCCAATCTTAATAATACAAAAACTTTTAAAGCACGAGAATTATTTTTTGAAATCAACAAATTGCAATGCACGACTGGAGAACCTTTCATATTTTTAGTTGATAATGCAAATAAAAAATCCAACCAGAAGAATCTTGGTACAGTATCAACCACCAATCTATGTACTGAGATTATCGAACATACAAATGAAATATCTGTTTGTAACCTACGTGCAGTGATCCTACCAACTCATATTTTACAGGAAAATGAATTTGATTTCTCTGAGTTACAAGCTTCAGTTCGCCTTCTTGTAAACTCATGTGACAAAGCAATTGATCTTACATATTATCCATTAAAAGAATGTGAAGTTGTAAACAAGAATGACCGACCAATTGCTATTGGGGTGATTGGTCTGGCATCTCTTTACAAGAAGTTTAAATTATCATGGGAGGACAATGAAGCATACAAACTTAACAAGCGAATCTTTGCACATATTTATTATGCAGCAATAGATGAATCATGTGAACTAGCAAAGAAATATGGTCCTTATGAAGGATATAAAGGTTCACCAGTTTCTGAAGGAATCTTGCAATATGATTTGTGGAATGCCACTCCTTGTGATGAACTTGATTGGGGAAGATTAAAAGCAAAAATTCGAAAATATGGTGTCAGAAACTCATTATTGGTTGGTCTGATGCCAACAGCTTCTACATCACAGTGTACTGGCACAGGGTTCAGTGAAGGACCCTTTCCAGAAGAGGCAAATCTTGTTATTCGTGAAACAACAAGAGGAGCCTTTATTTATATCGAACGTGAATTAGCAGAGATGTTGATATCATATGATCTTTGGTCAAAGGATCTTCTTGAAAAGATTCAAAAGAACAATGGCAGTGTTCAAAACATAGACGAATTTCCTGAAAATATGAAAAAGGTCTACAAGACAGCATTCGAATACCCATACAATGTGATAATCGATCATGCATCTGATCGTGGCATTTATATCGACCAATCACAAAGTCTAAACATTTATGTTACTTCCAATGATCCTGAATTAATGATACAGCATCTTTTTGATTCATATGTTCGAGCCTGGAGAAATGGATTGAAAACTGTTTATTATGTTCGATCTATGTCACATTCACGTCCTCTTGATATAAAATCACGTAACCCTGTATGTAATTCCACTGTATGTGAATCATGTGCTGTATGATTCTAATTTAGCAAACCAAATTAAAATAGAATAGATTTTCAAGTATTTTTGCATTCGAATAAGATTCTTTAAATATGTAACACACATAATAAATCAATATCTTAAAATAAAATTTTATTTTTTAGTTAAAATATCTAGAATTAAATTATTTTGATTTTTAATATCATCAAATTTTCTGTTATTTTCTTCAATTTCTTTTCTAATTTCTATAATTTCTTTTTCTAATTCTTTATTGATGTTTTCTAATTTTTCATTGTATTTTTCAATATTTTATTTTCTATTTCATATTTCAAATATTTATTTTTTTCTTGTTCTATTTTAATCTTATTATTTACAAGTATATTTTCATATTCGTAAACTTTCGGAATAAAATCTTTGATTAAACAAACACAGATTTTGTTTTTATCACCTGTATAATTTTCTAATTCATTAATTGCATAATTACTTAATTCAATATTAGAAATAAAAAATGCAACATGATAATTTGTTTTTCTTTTTGCTGTGTTCAAAAATTCTCTAACTTCAGATACTTGAATTTTGATATTTCCACTTCTGTATTTACATTGTGCAAACCAATGTAAACGCTTATATTGACCTATGTGTTAAAAAAAAATGTTAGTATATCATTTCCTTAAAACCTCAAGAATAGTATTACAGGCGATTCAAACAAGTTATGCTGACAGAATTTACACTACGAATAGACACCGCCAGTCTGTTTGCTCACTCAACTGTAAAAGTGGATCAATACTAAGTAAACAATTGCTTACCATGAAGATCTGCACATCCATCCGATAATGATTTGAATATTGTTTTTGAAAAAGAAATGAAAGTTTGGTTCATCTCAACGATCATTCCATTATATCTTGCTAGTTCATAAAGAAAATATTCAAAGACTTTGCCTTTGAGTCTTTTCTCATGATCATTTTTTGCAGGTTTATCAAAATCTTTAAAATTGATTTTTAATAAATCATGAACAAAATTTTCGAATGTTTTATTGATTCCAGGATATACAAATGACATTTTGACAAAAAAAATCTAAAAAGTTATAATATTTATATATTTTTTTATAATAAAGATTATCAATATATAATTTATTAATAATATCAATCAGATGATCTTAATCAAATCAAACTTTTTGTTATTATCTTTGTATCACTCTTTGCATTTATAAATAAACTTACATTTTTTTTTTTGAAGTTTGCATATTAAAAAAAAATGTCTAAACGAAAAGAAATTTTTGATAATGATGAAACTTTCATCAGAAATATTCCTAAATTCCAAAGTGAATATGAAACGATTCGAAAAGAGAAGGGACACAAACAATTCGGATTTGTGTGTGTATTCCTCTATGATAAACGCATGAATAAGTTTATCCTTGAATTAAGAGGAACTAATAATTCTCAGTATAAAGAAAAAGCTTCACCAATCGGTGGCAAACGTGAAAGATATTTTGTTATCTCACGAAGAATTATTAATGAATTGAATGAAATAGAATCTTTCAAGAAGATTCTGCTTGAAATTAATAGAGATGAGATCAGTGAAGCACTAAACTCATATGATGGTTTTGAAGATGATTTTTTTGTAGAATTAAAAAATTGGAATCCATCAAAAGGTGACAATGAAAATTCAAATGAAATCTTTATTAATGAAAATGAATATGAAATGAATTACACTCAAGAAGATATTTTTTCTACAATGCAACGAGAAGTTTATGAAGAAACTGGTTTCGATGCTAAAATACAACCATGTGAAATCAAGTATTTTGGAATTGATAAGAAGATATTTGAGTCTGACAAGATAGTCACTCATGTTTATCTTATCATCTTTGATAGTTACGATTTCATTCCTTACTCAAAAGAAAAGAATAAAGGAAATACTTTAATCAGCATGACTCCTTCTGAAATCATAGAACATATTGAAAAAGATAAAGACAAACCAAGAGATAAAATGTATTTTACCCCAACGATTACTAATGTTTTCAAAGAAGTAAAAAAATACTGCAAACCACTTCAACATGAAATAATCCTCTTTGGTGGACTGAATGCAGGACTATCAGAAGGTGTTAAAAGACTTGTAGAGTTTTTCTCACATATTGGAGTAGAAGTATCCAGTACTTTAACGATACCAGAATCATATCGTAAAAGAAAATATCTAAAAGATGGACATCTCTCGATCAGAGATTTGTACCCAGGATACTTTGATGCTGATGGTTTTGACAAAATCACAGCTCAAACTAGAGCATTGCTAGCATATGATTCTATTGGTAAACTTCTACATGGTAAAACTGAACCAGATGTTGGTAATGCACCATTAGTTATTCTTGAAAGAAGTCAGCGATGTGTAAACATATTCAATACTGCATTCAATGTTTCACGATTTCTACTTAATAATATGATGAAGCCACAAGATATAAATCGTTTGGATATCTTTGTATCTCCTTATGATAAGAATCTTGCATACGAAGAAGCTATGAAACGTAGAAATTACACAACATCTGATCAGAAAGTATACCAAAAACTGTACGATGTTTATGAAGATTTAGCACTTCGTGAATATCCTGGACGTGTAGTAGTTAAAAACTGTTATGGAAGAGAAACACATGCAGGTTTCACTAATGGGTTACTAAAGGCTGTACAAGATCATGTAACTCTAGGTAGGTTCTATCACCATGCTAAAAGTTACCATTCAAATCTTGCGCGTGAAACTCCTGAATTATCATATATCGAAGATGTTACATTCATTTAAAAAGGTTCATTCTGATTATTCTATTTTATAAACTTTATATTTTATTATTATACAATGATTACTAAATAAATAAAAGATTATCAAACTTTATTGGAATATAATATATTTTGCAATGTTAAGAATGGTTGTTCTATCAAGTATTGTTATCGAATCGCATATATTTGATGCTTTCTTCATGATGTACTGATCTATTTCATAATCATCACAAATTGTTTCTTTCAGACTATGTTTCAAGTTATGAAAATATGATTTGATGCTATGATTAAGATTGTTACTCAGTTTTAAATTGTTTATGGTCATCCAACCACTGAGACTGTATTCATTTAGTTGAATGTCTATCTCTTTATTTTTAAATGTTATCTTTGCATATTCTTCATTCGAGTATGTATCAAATACCAAGAATTTGCTAGGATTTTGTATCATACCATAACCCCAAGTCTTATCTGCAAATTTAATATCTGTAGTTTGCAAGATCTTATCATTGATATAAACATCAAAAGCACCTTTAAGCACGATGAAAAGAATATTTTCTTTTTCATCTTCGTACCCCAAACTTATGAAACAATCATCATGAAATACTTTATCCTTCATTGTTCTTTTTTTTTTTACAATTCATGATTCATCATTATCACCTAGTTTTATAACACCGATTCAGAAGGACCCATCTTAAGTGTAACCCTAGATTAAAACCAGACCACTATTCTGCGCTGGTATCATTCCTAAAATGGATAATGATTCGGAGAGAATGAGCTTTAGCATCATCAATACCATTCCGTAGAACAATGAAACTAATCTAAACTCCAACACGAATTCTAAAACTATGAATCTTGAAACAGTTTCTGGCAAACTGATTACGAAAATAATGGTTATTATCATTCTTAAGATAACAAATATGAATGGTTTACATATGAAATGTGTATGACATAATACTTTGTATATGATGTAAGATAGGATTAAGAGTATTATCATGACACTGTTATAGTAATCTGTATTACATTTAATACTAAATAAATTCATCTCAGATTCCGAATCTGGAATCAGAAGTTGTATGTTGCAAGTCAGAAATCTTTTGTAACAGATACTGATCGTTCTGATAAAGTTATCATCTAAGAAACTGATGTTTTCATGTTTCTTGGCATGTAACAATAAGAACATGATAAGAATCATCACTGGTACGATCAGTGATATCTTGTAAATACTAGTTTGCATCTTTATCTAGTTTATCAAAAACTACTTTCGAACAAAAAAAGATTAGAGTTTTAAAGCTTATAACACAAATTTATTGTACTATTTAAACACCAAAACAAGAATCTCAAATGTGAATGAATGTCTTTGTCAAAACAACAAAGAATCTGAAACAATAAAAGGTAGAATACAGAAACAATGCTAAAATTTTCAACTGTGTTATTAATCTTGAACCTTTATAAATGACAACAGTGCAATGAGTAGAAACAGTAAAAAAAAACAACAAAAAAATCATAAATACAAAAATAATTGCTATGAATAAAGGTGCTAAACATCTTAAATCTATCAGTAAATCTGAAAAGGTTAGTATACATGCTGAATGTATGTACGGATGTAAGTCACGCTGTGGTTGAGTGAGCTTTACGACTGTCGGGACATTTGTCTACCGGTAAAGAATCGCCCATGTAGATCTGTACATATAACTATAGGGGTGACTACGATTGGAAAGCTTCCAGTTATGAACATGATGAGGCATGATATACTAACACCTATTTTTTATTATAGGTAATTAAATTTACTTAATATCCATGCTGAATGTATGTACGGATGTAAGTCACGCTGTGGTTGAGTGAGTTTCACATTGTCGGGACATTTGTCCACCTATGAAAAATCGCCCATGTAGATCTGTACATATAACTATAGGAATGAGTACGGTGGAAAGTTACCAGTTATGAGCATGATGAGGCATAATATATTAATGTGGTTTTTTTATTTATAGATTTATGTAAAATCCAAAGGAAATAATTCATGTTTACAATTTAAGAATGAAATCATTAATTCTTTATATGAAGATAATTATGACATAAATGAAAATTTTATTACAAAACATATTCATAATGATCGTGATAAGGATATCATAGTTAGTAAGTATGATGTTGAAACTTTAATCTCTTGTAAACATAGAGAAAAAGGAAATATAAGATTTAATGATGTTGAACGAACAGCAAATATATCAAATTATTATAATGTTCAGGGTATTATTGTAACAAATTTAGATTATACTATAAATGCAACAAAAGCTGCTTCTAAACATAATGTTATCTTGTCTTATCCATCAAATCTTAAATGTAGATTAAATTTCTATATTGAAAAGGAATTAGATAAGAGAGAACTTGATGTATTATGTAACATCTTGGATAATGAAGATTATTAAATTTTATATATTTCATAAAGATAAAGATGTTGATAATTTATTATAAATTTATATTAAAAATAAAGTGCGATACAATGATCTATTTTTGTACCATCTTGATACCAAAATAAGAAATCCAAATGATATAAAAAATGCATGATTTCACTTGTCTTTGTCAAATTCAAAATGAACAAACGTGAAAACAAAGAATCCAAGACAATGAAACAAAGAATGCTAAAACTCTTGAATCGGTTTAGAAAGAACAGATCCAATAATCAAGATACTGTTTTGGATAACAAAGAAGTATCTGATAAATTGGATCTCCTGATCATTGAAATGAAAAAGAGTTCATGGAAAAGATCTGATATTGATTTCGATGGAGATATTCGAAATCTTCAGAAGTTAAATACTAATGAACAATATATTCTTTTTATGATGTGTGGATTCTTCTTAACAATCGATAGTGTTGTCATGGATTCATTGAACAATTCACTCATGAAAGATCTTGAAAAGTTAGTGAAATCAAACAAACTGATTAAAAAACCACTCAAATTCTATGAAGAGCAAAATCGACAAGAAGGTACACATGATGAATTTTATAAAGACATGGGCAAAGCATTCTTTCCTGATAGGTACCATCTTCTTCAAAGAAGCCATGAAGATATCAATGAATTCAAGAAGGTTTTCGATTATTGCAGAAGATTCCAAGATTGTAAGGTACCTCTTGGTGAAAGACTTCTCGCCTATGCATTCATCGAGTGCATCATATTCTTTCCATTCTTTGCTTGGATAATCAGTCATCGATTTAGTGGAAACATCCCAGGAACAGTTTCTGGTAACCACTGGGTGTGCATCGAAGAAGCCATGCATGTTCGCGGTCATTCGTATATCTACCAACTTTTTGATAATGTTTCTGAACCTCGAGCCAAGAAGATCTGCAGTGATCTGATCTTTCTTGTGAAGGATATGTGGACCTCACGAATCTTAAAGTATGGAGAGTACAATGTTAATGGGTTCACCCTGGAAATGGTGCTCGAGTATATAGACCACCTTGAAGAGATGATGCTGAATTTTACAGGATTCAGTAATGAAAATACCAAGAAGAACCCATTCAAGTACATGGACTACATCTCAACATACACAAGAGCAAACTTCTTTGAGAGAAGAGTTATCGAGTATAGTAATTTTCATGAGTTCAAATACAAAACAGGAATATTCAATGATTGTAATGAATTGAAATTGTATGGTTCTAACATTGTATCTTAATTTATTATTTCTATACTTGTATTATTTTGTAAAATGTATTACATTAAAAACTATTTAAATAAGCATAACGCTGACAATTATTTTTAAATTAACTTTACAATGAAGTACCCGACTGAAATACTTAGTCAGATCATTGATAATGTCGAAACCAATCATCTCTATGAAGTATTCCAATGCATGAACAGAGTCATTGTTTGTTTAACTGTCCAAAGAATGTGGTCAAATTTCTTTGTAGAATTCTATTCTGCATTTAAAACTAAAAAAGAAGAAAAGGCCAGACAGATCTTAGAAGGAGTTTCACACATCCTCTTTGGATCTTTGAGTGATGAAAGCAAAAATATCATTACGGAACATCTCAAGATCGAAAAAGAAAAGCTTACAAAAGAACCATATTACAACTATCTAAAATTTATACAATACGTGAACTTTCCATATATTCTTGATATATGTGATATATTTATCAGTACACATGTTTCGTATGCTGTTCCTAATGAGCTCTTTATTAAAACGATATCTATGTCTTCAAGATTGAAACAACTCACTATCCATTTAGTTGGATTAAATAAAAAATTACAAGGATCTTTATCAGAGGTTGTTGAACAGAAAAAAATAAAAATCCTTCATGTTTCCTCTTTCTTAAACTTTGAGTTTGGTGAAACAGTTTTCGGAACATACAGAGAATTGATCTGTAGGCTTATTTCTAAATGTGATATTGATATGCTTTGGATCGAAGAATATCTAAAAATTCAAACAAACACAACCATCACCAAACTGAAAGTGAATGATCGATGTAAGGGACTCATTCAGTATTTTACAAATCTTAAGAAGCTTATTCTTGACAATGTTGAATATGATGAAAGATTTCTAATGGAGTTAAAAGTTTCGAAACTTATAGTTTACGTAAAACTAGACTTAGTTAAATTCTATTTAATTCTTAAAAAAAATAGTAATATCAAATCATTTGAAATTGAACGAGTATGTGAATATCGAATTATAAGAAGCTTCTTGCATTTCAAAACTAAGACAGAAGAATTCGATGAACTTATTTCGGTATTCTCAAAACATGTTCATCTTTTAAAGATTGTGTATCTTTGCACAGATGTGAAAGTTATTGTTAACAATTCAAATCTTGCGAGAAAAATCTTAGATAATAGGAAAATCAAATATAATTATAGATAATATGTTATCTCTATAAGAATAGATTCAAATTATAACAATAGTTTTTTTAATGATTGTGATAAATTAAAATCAAATAAAGAATAATTAAATATCATGTAACAATATTAATATAGTTAAAAAACAGTATTTAAATACTAAATATTCCAAACCAGATCAAACAAAAGTATTTCTTTAAAATGGACGAACAAAAAAGATTAAGAAATCAAATTTTACCATTAATCGAGAAAAAATATAATAGTTGGATGAAAGACTCCTTGTCTGGATATGTTAATGTTGTTAATCTCATACCCTGGGGTGACCGAACTGAACATACTTATAGATATCAAAAATTCTTCTTTTTAATCGAATCAAAGAATCAAACTGATGTTGATGAAGCTCAAAAAATGTGGAGTGATTTTTTAATTCAAAAAAATATTAAAAGTATTGAAGATAATGCAATGATCTCAGCATGGCTTTCAGAAAAATTGTAAAACTTTATTTTATTAGAGTATGTTTTATATTATCTAAATAAATTATCTACAAACCGATATTTTCATATATATTTAGATAAGATTTTATTTAAGAAAAAAAAATGTACAAACATAAAACTCTAGTATTCTGTTATATTTCCTTTTTTTGATACTTTGTACTTATTCTGATTTTTATAAATAAACACTCGTTTTCATCAATGAAAGTAATAAAAAAAATGTCTGCTACGAATATTGATCTTGAAGAACTTTCAAAAATTATATCATTAAAAGATGCCTTCGATTTGCTTCGAATGGTATGCGAAGAAAAACGTGAAAATAATTCAAAAAGCGAAAGTTCCTATTTAAGTGATTCTATCAATCATGAAACTCTTCCAAGAAAGTACACATCAATCAGAGACTATTTCAAACAAAACGATACTATCGAACCCAGATATTTCTACCAAAGATGTAATGATCGTTATTTCAACTATGGATACACTACATTCTTTTGGCAAAATCATAATTTATGTCCTCGATGTTTACAAGTTGGGCCACACACATGCTGCACTTCATGTAAATCATTTATACACTTCTGCAGATGTGTATTCCGATGTGCGTTAGCATATCCATCAAGATTCAATGAAAATGGAGAAGTTGAAATGTGGGCCAAATGTTCATTTCACTGTAACAAGTATGATGAATTAGCTTTTCAAGAACATTTAGAGATGTGCCAAGGAGTTATCAGTAATGATCTCAAGATCGTGTTTCTTCAAGTGAATCCACATCCAGTAAAACCGAATGCTATAGTAACAACACCGATGTTCATCGATCTTGACAAAGAACGATGTTCGAAATGTGACAAGATTCATAATGCTGCAGAATCATGCATCCCAAAAAGGTTAAAATACTGTTACAATTGTAAGAAGTCTGGACATATCAAACGAAACTGCCCAGAGATACAATGTTTTTCATGTAATAGTTTCGGCCATCTCAAAAAAGACTGTAATTATAGACAGTGAATGATAGTAGATCGACACCCATACACTGCCGGGCCGGAGTAGTTAGATTAGTCGATGGTTAACTTTAACAACTGGGTTAACGTTAATGTTAATGTATTAATAATTAATTCGATTGTTAAAGTTAACCATCGAACAGTCTTAATAACTATATCTGGTCTGCAGTGTATGGGTGTCGATCATTCTTTTTTTTTATTTAACTGTATCATTTATAAATTTACACATAATAAAATAACTATAAATAACCAAACAAAAGTGTATCAAAAATGACAATGTCCAAGATGCAAAACCACCCAGTCGTATCTTACTTTGATAAAAAAATATGCAGAATATGTGGTCACAAGATCAAGTACAATAGCGGTGTCCCTTCTATGAAGAGACATTTTATTACTAAGCATAACGATGAATGGCTTAACATTCGTAAACATGAATTTATTGGAGGTAAAACTTCAAGTAAAAAACACCCAGTCGAAAGATATTTTCGTGATAAGAAATGCATTGTTTGCAACTATGAATTTCGAGTCAATCCAAAACTAATGACCATGAAGAAACATTTCATGGATATCCACAGAACAGACTGGGATACATTCGTCAATACAAAGAATTTTCCATCTAAGTTATCACAAAAAATAACTCGAGCTCAGGCTGTTTCAAAACCTATTGTTCAAACTAAGATAATGAAATCTCGTGTGCTGAAATCTAAGAATTCTGTTCTGAAAAAGAAACCCAAAGTAATCAAAAAGATTCTCAAGAAACCTTCTATTGTTAAAGAACAGAATTCATCCATATTTGGTCAAAACTCTCAAATTGTAAATCATCGTTTTAACAAATATAATATGCTAAATATGTATCGATGTAACACATGTTATGAAGTAGTCCAACCAGAATTAGCTTTTTTACATGTAAGACTTGGTTGTAAGAAAAGATTTTAAGATGAACCAGATAAATTAAGAAATTCATGTAATGATTTCGTATCTCTATAAAATATATAAATAAAGCAATCCTAAACATAAGTTAACTTATAAAAAAAAATGTTCGAAGCAACATTTACTAAAGCATCACTGTTAAAAAATGTTATCGAATCAACAAGAGAGCTTGTAACTGATGTTAACATCGAGTTTACAGAATCTGGTATCAACTTCACAAGCATGGATTCAGCACACATTGCTCTTATAATTGTCCATCTTGATAAAGAAAGTTTCGAAAGATATATTTGTGACAATGATGAAACTATCGGTCTTAATCTTGAATACCTAAACAAGATACTTAATCGTGTGAAGAATAATGATACTCTTACACTTAAACTAGAAAATCCAGATTTTCTAAGTGTTTTATACAGGGGTTCTGATGATCCTAATGAAACTAAATATGAATTACGATTACTAGAAATCGACCAAGAGAAACTTACTATCCCATCTATTGAATACAGTGTGATTATTGATATGCCTCCTGATAGATTAAAGAAGATATTCTTGGACCAAATGATTGTTAGTGAAACAGTAAAGATTATTGTAAAACAGAATGATAAGACTGTTGAATTCATTTCTAAAAATGAGTTCGATAATAAATGCATCAATAACCTGACTGAAAAAGAAAGTGATTCAGGTGATAAGATCTCAATCATCGCAGGAAATAGCATAGATAGTTTATTTTCACTCAAATATTTATTGATGTTTATGAAAGCATCACCTTTATCACATCGTGTACAGATTTGTTTAGAAAATGAAATACCAATTGTCATCAAATACGAGAATGAACAAAACTATATTCACTACTACCTAGCACCTAAAATGATAGAAGAATAATATTTGTACTTTATTTATATTTCTAATTGAATAAAATCAAAGTTACAAACTAAAGTTACATATTTCAGGGGTTAGAACAAAAAATAAAATAAAACTAAACTATTTTCTAAATAAAGCTAATCGATTAAGAAATAGTTTCAAGATTTGTCTGCGCGTTCTGTTTTAAGAGATGTCCTGTTGAATCATTATCGACAACTTCTTTAAACAGCTTTTTTGCTTCAAGTTTATTAACAGAAGTACCAAATCCTTCATTTAAACAAACCGCTTTCCAAAATTTTGCATTAAGAACAATTTCAAGATCACTATGTTCTGCACAATAGGAAATACCTTTAAAGATAGTATCTTTATCATTGTCTGATTCATTAGGATTACCTAAAGTATGATAATCATGCTCTCTAATACAATTAACTAGATAACTGTTTACAGTCTCAGTACTAGAATCATCAAATTCTCTTTTAAATTCTTCTTCACCTTCTTTCATAGCCAGATTTAATTTAACAAACCCAAGACTTGGTTTCATTTTTATTGAAAAATTTAAAGTTTGATGTTTATTCGTAATTGAATAAAAAGTATAACCTTTTATTAACAAAAAACAATACAAAAAAATACTATTCAATATGCTGATCTTTCACATGCTCTATTGTTTGATTCCATCGTGCACTACACTCTAAACAAATGACCTTCTTAATCGGTTTAACAAGACTTTTTCTTTTTTTCAAAATTATAACAAAAGTTACAAATATCGTAATAATCCTTTTTTTTGTTATCCCAACTCGTCTTGTTTGTTTTACATATTTTACAAAATTTCTGTTTCTTACAATCGATACAGAATCTAAAATAACATTTTCTACTCTTATCCCAACCAACCTTGTTCACTTTGCATTCTTGGCACAATGATGCATTATCAGTCAAAAATTTCTCATGACATTCTCTACATTTTCTATTCTTTTTATTTTTTCTGTTCCCACAAGAACAAACATCTTCAGAAACAAATAATAGCTCAACTTCTCTTTCACCAGTAAAATAATCTAATTCATTTAAAAGAATTTCATCATCATCATGATTTACAAACACTTCTTGACCTTTCAGTGCACGTTCGATAAGTTTTGGATATTTTGGAACAAGTGGAACCTCAAAGATTCGTTCATTTTCTCTGAACACATTATGTTCATCTTCAAGCATAAAGGTAAAAATTGAATTAGGATGTTTACAAACATTTTCTATAGTTGTTGTTATCTTAATTCTATTACCAAGAATGAAAATTAGAGTGTTTTCAGATTTAAGTTCAAAAGAAAGTTGGCAAAGGCAGTTTTCACAATATTTTTTATATTCTGGAAAGGTTTTTATTTCACATCGATGTTCAAGGCAAAGGGGACAAAGTGGTGCATTCCACAAGATACACTCTTTACAATCACATGTATCCATCATAGAACACTCTTTGTAGTTATTTTGTGTATAAGCAGGGGTAGAAGTATTGTATTCCATTGTTTAGGTTTCAAAAATCTTAGAAAATTTCACTTCACAATCGTTCATTTTTATAATTAAAAGATATGCACACAGATGTACAGATAATCATGACTTTTATAGTTTATCAAGAATTAACTTTAATAGAAATAAAACATGTATCACAAAATACAAAAAAAAAACAAATTACAAATAAAGAATGATCAAAATATAGAATATGGTTCTATGCGAAACTTATTAATATCTTTCATGATCGTATCAATTGCCTTGTTATGGGAATCAGTCAAACTGATTCTTAGTTCTGCAAGTTCTCTATTATGCTCTTTATCCAAGTATAAAAAAAAGAAATACAAAACTCAATATCGAGATTATAAGATAGATGATAAATAATCTCTTGTAAAAACAACATTTTCGCTCAAGATTTTCCAAATAAAATGCTTGATTCATTTCTTCAGATGTTTCAGAATGAATAAATGTTCTGGTATCTAATAATTGATTTAGTTTGAGCTGGTACTCATTAATTTGTAATAACACGTTAACTAAATCAATATCAAGTTCCATGATTAATAAATCAAAAATTTAAATACCTTTGATAAGAAAGTTTATATCTGAGTATAAATCTTGTCGAACATCAGTTAACTTACTTGTTTTATAATAATTGAAAGATGAGCTGTATTGTCTCGTAAAGACTAAAATAGATAGTTTGTTTAATAGAGCAAATTTAATCAACATCAGTTTAGAGTGAAACATATTTCGTATAAACACAAAAGATAACATTGTTATATTTTTTAAGAAGACAAAAAAGTAAATTTAAATCATGACTGATAAATAATTTTATTGGTAAATAGATACATATATTTTGTTATAAACTATACAATACTCTTTTTGTACAACCTTGCAATCTCTAAAACTACACCAAAATAAATCTCAATCGCATCGAGTTTCTTTGTTACTGGGTACCCAGACCTTTGTACTACTTGTTTGTGTAGATTATTTTTATAAATAAAAATCGATACTGGGTCCCGGACCTCACTCACATCCTCTGATGTAATACTAAATGCACATTCTACCAAAAGTGCAAGTTTCTCAAATTTAGAAAAAAAAATATGCATGGGTTTCGTTTTCAAAAATGCTTTGTCTAATTTATCAGAATCATACATATAATCTTGCACCCAATTCCAGACAATGCTTTCTTGTTTCCTAGTAAGGATATCTCTTATCGAATCCTTATACGATTCTATGTCAAAGTTATTCTTTTCACACGTTTCCATTTGAGTTTCAATATCTTCTTGTAACATTTCTTTAAAGATCGACATTTTAATTTCTTTAGTTGCTTCTTCTTGTTTTTTTATCAAAACATCTTTAGTTAAAGATAATTTTTTTGATGTATTTTTTTTCTTCGAGTTAGTGCTTCTTTTCTGGATTGTTTTCTTAGTAATTGGTGGTTTTGTTTTATTAGTATTTGGTTGTCTTGGTTTTTTAGTATCTGGTTGATTCGTTTTTGGCAGAGGTTGTCTTCTTAATAAATGAGAGTCTAATATGAACTTAAATTGTTGTTTGTCATTGTATACAGGTTTTTCAGTTCGTTCTCGAGTTTGCATATTTGTTCAAGAATAAAAATATTTTACTATTTGTACACTCTTTAAATAAATAAATTACGTATTACAGATTTGTCATTCAGTAAAGAAACCAATAAAA